ATATTTAAAATAAAGTTCAGCTCAGGATTAAACTGAAATTTTGAGAACAGTGCCTTTAATGCATATGGTGTTTTAAATGGTGGCAAAAGATGTCATTAGACTTGTTTGAGTCGGATATTCTTGACAGTACATTTCCCCCCCACTCCCTCCACACTACTCAGTGACTTCTATCGATTTCAAAATTCCAGAGTAATGATATAATGTCTGGATGGCCTTATGATTAAAAACTTAGATATCGTCAAGCCAATATGCATCCATGCAAAGTAAATGAGTTGTCTAAGTATAACAAATTAAGAGATTTTAAAATACACAATTTGACACTAAATGGAATGCAATGTTTTTGTGTGTCATGCAGGTCAAACACACAGAGATCACTCAGGGATGTCTGAAAGACTTTCTCCTTCTCTCATACAAGTGACTCTTGTTGGGCCAGGAAAATGTGTAGATAATGAATATATGGGAGGGACAGTATGTGTAGCAGGCAGTGTTAATGACATTGATTAAAGTGTTGAAGAAAATTTGGCTTGACAAAGGAGTTTTTGCATGATGATAACTAAGACAAAAACATTACTAAAATATGTGTTAATGATGATGACTAAATCAAACATGATGTTTGACATTGCCCTGCCATGGAAGATTTTATAGGTAGGTAGGTAGGCAGGCAGGTAGGTGATTGTTAATTATTTCAACTGAATTAATTTATGGTTTTGTCTTTTAGATCCCAGGAGGCCATATCGGTATTTTCCTCAATCAATGTTACTAATTTATCATACACAAGCAGATTTCCATTCAGTTTTATTCTGAAGCCAAGGTTTGAACAGCTCTGGAAACAAGTTCATGACCTCCAAGGTATTAAAATTATGAAGATACAACAACAGACTTGTTGTTAGGCTGAATCATTTATCATATTGTTTAATTTAATCATCATATGTTTGAAAGGAGATTGAAAAGTGCTTGGTGTGCCTTGATAAAGTCCAATTTTAACACAGTTATTGTAACTGTTTTGTTAATGTGATTTCCAGGGTTTTCACCGCTGCCTAAACTGCACCAGGTTGAAAAATGTCAAGACATGATTCACTTTCAGTGGATATATGACATTAAGAAAACACACACATTGTTTGCAAAGTATGCTGAGGATCTAGTAAACATGTCAATGCCAAGACACCCAGAAGTCAATAAGGTACGAGCCAGTAATAACGTAAACATTTTATAGTTATCCAGTTATTTTCGGTACATTTGTTTAAGCTCATATCAAGTATCAATTATTTGCATCTTTGTGCCTAGAATATTACTTTTAAAATATTTATGAAAACGTGATTTTCTCAGTGGAACATACATAAGGAGTATTGGGCTGAGTTTAAGGATTTGATTTATTCTGTCTCTGGCAAAAAGTATTTTGACATTCTTATCAGTGGAGATTTTTAGAAAGAATGCTAACAAAAGACATAAATGTGAATATATCGTAATTTAAATGAAATTGAAATTACATGGAGTGTAAAAAGCCTTTCTTTCTCAGCTGTTTTCAGAGGCCCTTGTGGAACTATCGCAACGCGTGTATGCAGACTTGACTCAGGAACATGCTGAAAATGTCTCTCTCATTTGGCTCCATGTCACATACGAGTACATGCGTGACAATCATCAGATTTACCAAAAGCTGTCTCAGCAGTACAGTAGCTTGTTAGCTACAGGGCAAGCGAAGGAGGCTACTCAGGTCAGCCCCCGAAAAAAAAGATATATATATATATATACAATGATATATATATATATAATGGATTTTCCTTCATTAATATTAGGATTACCAAGACTTTGTGTTTCAAGTGATTAAATTGTTTCTTATAGGCTATCAAACTTATACTAAAGGAACTTGAGCCCACTGATGACAAACTGAAGGGTTTTGAGAGCTGCCAGAAATGGCTAAAGGACGTCAAATCAGTGTCAACCGCTGTGGAGTTTATTACCTCAGAGGATTCATTAATTTGGCAGCATGGGGAAAATGGAAAAGCCTTGGTCAAAGACATACAGTGGGTTTCCAACATTTCATTACAGAATAATAATATTTAATTGAACTATAGTTTTTATGCAACGAGTATTTAAAGGTTTTTTTGCGGTACTGATTATTTTAAGTCATAATTTCTGTCTGTGCAATTACTGTTGAAATCGGCTGTTTTGATGCCGGTTAATCATAATTAGATTTATTGGCAATTAGTGCTATATTCTATATGAATATTTTATGAGTAAACTATTGTGCAGCTGTACTCTTAAGTAATGTCATTACTCAGTGTTGCCAAACAAGCCAAGATCCGTGAGAACCAACTGGACATTAACTGTTGTTCTCAAACTGATCATGCTCAAAAACATTACAATAATCTACTTTAGTTTCTGCTGTTGCTAAAAAAAATGCTGTATGTTGATGTTAAATTTAATGAATCTGGAGGATTTATAAAATGGCAAGCCTTTTTAGTGATGATTAACGTGCAGTTTTGGTCTTGTATGTGACATTTAAACATACATTAATTTTCTTTCTAAAGACTGCTGTGGCACAGTACACAGGTGGTGTACTTGCTCATCGATCACCTTTTCTACGAGGAAACTGAAATAGATGAAAAATTGCTCAGCATTGTTACAAAGAATTGCAGATTCCTTTGGAAGGTAATCAATATGTTTCATTATTTTGTATTCTATCACGTACTGGCATCCTATCCAGAGTGTCCTTGTGTCTTACGTTATGGCCTGTGCTTCCAGGGAAATCACAGCCCTGTACTGGATTATAGGGCAGTCTTTGCAGTAAAGAATGAGATAAACTTTATTTAAATGATAAAATACTGTTTTCTCTTCTAAAGTAAGCAAGGATTGCCTTTTCCTGCATATATCTAAAATGGATCTTTCCTCTAACAGAGATTGGAATCTAAAAAGGAAACAGACATGGAAAACACTTTTAAATGGATGACACAAGTGCTGAAGCAGTGCAACACGAATGCCTGCAACATCTATCTGTGAGTGGGATATTTTCACTTCTGAGTCCCCTACTAACACACATTTCTGTAAACAAGGAGTACTCCTTCGTTTTCTGAATAATACTATTTATTACTTATTTGTGTCACGTTCGGGATCAGGCGAGCCGGAAAGCAGGCGAATTGCAGCCAGGACTTCGGGTAAACGTGGTTTTATTAACGAAAGACGGACATCTATGGACAATACAATGACGAGTCTGGGGAAGACTGACTCAGACGAGGACTAAATACAAAAGACAAGCTAGACATAACAGGACACAGGTGATCACAATTAGGGCTGAACACGAGGTAACGAGGTGGGCGTGGCACACATCAGGAGCGGACGGAGCGGGGTGTGACAATTTGTGTATACTTGTATTTGCTTTTGATTAATCCATTTAGGAACTTGGTGTAGGAATTATTAGCTCAGGTAAATTTTTATATCTCCACCAATATATTTTGAAATTAATTAAATTTTAATTAATTATTATTTCATTCTGATTATTAACCAATTGTTATGCCGAATGGTCGGCTCCTCCAAGCTCAGTTAAGGTATCCCCGTAAGTCTGTTAATGTGAGACTTAAATGGGATTCACTAATTACCAGTATCGATTAGTAACCTGGGTTAGAAGGCTCGTCCAGCGAGCTGCGTCACCAGGTAATGTAAACAATTGGTAGCGAATCTCCCCTCACGGCCGATGAGAGAGAGTCTCGCGATATTTCAGGCGAGTTTGAGGTTTCAGAGCAAGTAGCAAGATCACACAGAGGCAGGGACTATTGTGAGCACTCAATGAACGGAGGCTGAAGTTGTGTAAAAGACATGCATTTATTCCTAACTAACACTACAACTAACAAAAGACAAACATTACACTTAACACAAACAACAAGCACGAAATAACGGAATAGAAACAAACGATGTAATTATGGAAATGCAATGACCGGATTTAAATGAGTAACCTTAAAAGGGAATACTGTTCTGCAAAGCAAGCCCAGTTTGTGGAAACACGACCCTAAAGTCATATAATAATACATAATAATAATACATTTTATTTGTGGGCGCCTTTCAAAACTCTCAAGGTCACCAAATACAAGATAAAAAGACACAGAACAAAAAATAAAACAATAGAATAACAAATAAATAAAAGAACAAAATAGATAAAACAAAATCAACAAAACAAACAATATGATAAAATAGATGAAACAAACAATTAATTATAATGATCTCTAATCAATTAATTATACGATAACTTCAGTGGAAAATAATATAATTCAAATAACTAAGTTATTAATAGATTTTTATTATGTCTGAAAAGCCAGTGTGAATAAGTGGGTTTTGAGAAGAGATTTAAAGTCAGCAATTGAAGTGACTGTGCGTATGTGAAGAGGAAGAGCATTCCATAGCCGAGAGGCACTACAACTAAAAGATCTTAATCCTATAGTGGATAGTGATGCAGAGGGTATAGAGAGAAAAGCAGCAGAGAAAGAATGGAGAGAGCGAGACGGTAAGTATGGCTCAAGTAGTTCAGAGAGGTATGGCGTGCCCAAATTGTGTAAAGCTTTAAAGGTTAAGAGAAGAATTTTAAATTCTATTTGAAATCGGATTGGAAGCCAGTGAAGTTGCTTGAGAACTGGAGTAATAGAATAAAAATGCTTAGATCTGGTAATAACTCGAGCAGCTGAATTCTGAGCCAGTTGAAATTTACTAAGAGATTTGTAAGGTAAACCAGAGAGGAGAGCATTGCAGTAATCGAGACGAGATGTAACAAGAGCATTAACCAAGATAGCTATATTATTAAGAGAGAGTGACGAACATAGACGGTTAATGTTATGAAGGTGAAAGTAAGCAGCCTGAGTAATATTATTAATATGTGGAACAAAAGAGAGAGTACTATCAAAAATAACCTCAAGGCTCTTAACCTGGGGGGAAGGAGAAAGATACGTGCTTCCAATGGGGAAAGAAAAGGTGCTAAGATCTGAGAATGTGGACTTTTTACCAACTAAGATAATTTCAGTTTTGGACCCATTTAATTTAAGGAAATTGTGAGAAAACTAAACTTCTATTTCCTGAATTGCTTTCAGAAGAGGCTCAGGTGGAAACATACTATCAAGTATAGCTGAAAGATACAGCTGAGTATCATCAGCATAACAATGAAAGTTAATGCCAAATTTCCTAAGGATATTACCTAAGGGAAGAATGTAGATAATAAACAAAAGGGGACCAAGGACCGAACTTTGAGGAACACCGCTACTAACAGGAGATGGATCAGATGTAAAATTCTTTAGCTGCACAAACTGAGTACGATTGGAAAGATAAGATGTAAACCATAGGAGTGCTGTATTGTTTATACCAATAGAAGCTAAACGATTTAGCAAAATACGATGAGAAATGGTATCAAAGGCAGCCATTAGATCAAGAAAAATTAATATGGATAATAAGCCAGAGTCTGTAGCTAATAAAAGATCATTAGTAATTTTTACCAGTGCAGTTTCAGTACTATGTAGTGGACAAAAACCAGATTGAAATTTTTCATATAGATCATTTTGTAAGAGATAGTTATGAGTTATATATAGCAGGTTAACAGCACAGCTTCAGTTGTTAGAATGAAAGGAAGTTGGTTTACTTGGTTGCAGAGGGAGGGGGGGGGGTCTTGGCAGTTGGTTGCAGAAACTGATGGGATGATGGCACTCAGGAAGGCACGGCGTTTGGAGCAGTTATTGGAATGGAGCCCCTTGGATTCTCTCTCCTGGTGAAGCTTTGTCTTTGTTGCAGTTCTCTGTCTAGCTGGGCCTTCACCGGAGGGCTTCATGTGGGCTTCTCTTGGGCTGATGTTCTCTGCCTCTCTTCGGGCTGATGGACTTTTCTTTGCTCAGGCTGAAGGTCTTTCCTGCTCCCTGATGATCTTTCTGCCCCCTTTGTTCTGAGGTGCCAGGTTTTATGGTCTAAAGTTCATGAATAGGGATTACCAGGAATTTGACTCCTGGACCAATGGCTTGCCATCCATTTGGCAGGCTTTCAGGAAGAGGTTCTGTATCAGTCCTTTTGGGATTTATGACCAGACTGATTCTCCCTTTACTGATAATTTTCATTAAGCTGTTATAACTTTTGATTCATCCACTTTCATGGTAATCACTGACTAGATTTGGAATCAGGAGTGATTGTCCACCAAACATGCCATACCAGCTTCACAGGTTTACACCTCATACCATCTGTATTAATTGATGATTAACAATTACTTATATTATGTATGTGACTGACTCACATCAGTATATGATACAGGTGTTTTGGGTTGCACCTCAACAGATGCTACACTTTGTGCAGACATTACTTCACATATTCACATTAAAACAGCGCATCTTATCCTTAGATAGGCGTGGACATTAGTTTGTGGTAATACCAATTTAAATTGTACATCTGGAAACAACATATTTTGTTTGGTGTGGCTTATCCCAATTGATCTTCTCCAGAATGGATAATGTACACCTTAATTCAGTTCTTTTAATATAGTATGGTAGAACACAGAAAGCTTGCTAACGTACCACCAAGATCAGATAAGGACCACAAAGGAATGTTGGAAAAGAAGAGGGGGGCGGTCGTTAAACAAAGAAAGACTCTCTGAAAGTTAGGACACACTGGTTACACTATTTAATTTTCCAGATTCTTCTGGTATAACCATGAGAACATATATGCAGTGGTAGCTATACCTATTTAGTTATTCAAATTTATATAAGTGTTCAAGTGTAAAGGGCTAAAATAGGTGATACTCTGTGAACATGGTTATAAGGGTGGCACACAAAACACTAAGATTGTTCAAGGACACATACAAACATAACCTATCTGTATATTGAGACTAGTAGTCATGAGTAAATCAATATACAGGGTATACAAAAGCCAAACTTAAATGACACTTTCTTTAGGGTGTTGGTCTGTTGGGTGAGTGGTATGTAAGGCCGGATGTCTGGGGAGGGGGTTGTGTGCCAAGTCGAGGGACCCCTGTCCATTAGGTCCACTCTGCTGTCTGTAGGTCCCTAAATCTTTGGGCAATAAAAGTTGGAGTGCTGGCCTCCCTTGTTATCTGTGTGTGTTTGTGTGTGTGGGGTCACTAACCCCCTTTGGTGCCTAGGCCAGTGTCTACCTCTCGTACCAGGCTGGGCCTTGTAAATTTTTTAATGTAAATTAAAATTATTTAATGACATTGCTCAATGCATTTAAGTCAACCTAAGAGAATAGTTCAGTATTTTAAGTAATTAATTTAGCAAAAATTCATTGTGTATGAGAATCTCATACTTAAATTGAAATATTGTGAAATTAAACCCTTGACAAATAACACAAAATAAACTAATATTTATTAAAGAAGCTAATGCAATTCAAATATATGTGCACCACTAATTAAACATTTTGGTTTTACAAACTTTGGTATTCTGATTTTTAAACTTAAAAATACGGAGGCAGCTGATTGCATTACTAATTTTTTTGATTTTTTGAACTTTGTTGAACTTCTGAATTTGTTTGGGTTTACAGCGCATAAATTATTATCTACCAGTGCTGAGAGAAGGCAAGACTTCCTCTAGTGGTTCAGGAGTAGATCTTCCCTAGAACAGATATGATGGGTGGAGGCGTCATTGCTTTTAGACAGTGACTACGGAAAACAGAATCAATCAAATCATGTTTCTCATTTAATATTCATATTTTTATTAGGCTTTATGTTTAGAAACCCAGGCTTGATATTTTAAAAACGACCGTAATTTTAATCTGATTGTATGCCTTGAATATTAGCATCTACCATGTTGTATTGTTAGTTATCCTTCTGGGTCCTTTGGGTTTTATTAGTTAAATTGAATATTCTAATTGGCCCCTTGCACTGTACTACACTCACCTAAAGGATTATTAGGAACACCTGGGGGCTGTTCCACGAAGCGAGCTTATAAAATCGAGGATTATTTGTAATAGCCTCGCTTGAGTTAGCCTAACAGTTCACTTCAGGCTCATTGAGTTCCACGAACAAAATTCAGGTGTATTTAATCTCCACTAATTCAAGCCAAGCTTGATAAGCGAGGCTCGTGCGCGTCCGCGCGATATAAAAGGCAGCCTTGTTAATCGATGCTGGATAAGTAAGAATGGAAACTAAGGAAAGAGCTGTGTTTCCCCCCCAAGCGGAGCAATAATTATTACTGCAAGCCTATGAGGACTACAAAGACTATATTTTTAAATAAATCATTTAAAGCCCACATTGCATTGTATAATTTTGCCACCAAAGAGAGAGCTGTGGCTGCTGCAACCAGTGGGGGCCCACCTCCAGCAGCCTGTACCCCATCTGAGGTGATGGCCCACCTCCAGCAGCCTGTACCCCAGCTGAGGTGATGGCCCACCTCCAGCAGCCTGTACCCCAGCTGAGGTGATGGCCCTTGCACAGAAATGTACACGGCATATTATTGAGGGGATTGAGGGAGGAACATCCTCAGCTGTTGTTCCTTCCAGTCATGTGCAATCATGTTAAAGGTTCCGTATTTTTCGGACCATAAGACGCACCTAGTTTTAGAGGAGGGAAATGAAGGGAAAAAAGATTCTGAACCAAATAGTGTCCTAAATTATTTTGTCAACCATCCTTACCTGGCCACATCCCTCCCCCCTTTTATGGC